ATACTGCAGAAAGAGTGGTTGTTAATATCAAATCAAATTAATAGATAAATAGTATCTTTTGAAGTAAAGAATGGCTTCTAATAACAGTAAAAGTTCCAGCATATCAGAATGATATAAAAATTACAAATATATGGTTATAAATAGAATTTTTAAATATTTGTCAAAATGAGCAGAATCAAGAGAAATTGATAATTGTTGAATTTCTAACTCCTCTTTTTGAGTGATTTATATAACTAGACACTGAAAAATAAGTTCTAGAAGATATATAGTTAACTACCCTCCTACCCTCTATCAAATGGGTGGTTTTAGGCTTTTGCATTCACCTGAGCAGAATGCTCCTTCTTTTCAAGGACAAGTGGGAAATTTACTAGCATAAAACTGTTCTGAGGAATAAAAAAAATCACAATACACTAAACCAAGTTGCATTCAAGAAGAGTCTGTTCCCTGACTACATTGGATTTGAGTTAGAAATCAATAAAAGTGAGATTTAAATAAAACTTTGAAGTGCTTGAAAGTTGAAAACACACTTAAACAATTCATGAGAAAAAAATAGATAAGAAAATTGAGAAATATTTCAAAATGAATTATAGAAATAGAATATATCAAAATTTATAGGATTCAGCTTATACAAATCTCCAGGGAAACACTGCTGCTCTAAATATTTAAAACCATAAAAGCCTCAAAAATTTCATTGTTTTTATTAGGTTCTGATGAAGAACCTGGAAAAAGTCAAGTAAATACAAAGTGGAGGGAGAGAAGCTAGAGAGAGAATGAACACAGTTTACCAGTGTCATGGATGAAGAGACTAACATTACAGATCCGTAAATATTTAAATAATATATTTGAGGACTGGAGAGATGGCTCAGTGGTTAAGAACACTGGTTGTTCTTGCAGAAGACCTGAATGAATCCCAGCACCCACACGGCAGCTAATAACTGTCTGTAACTCCAGTTCCAGGGGATCCGACAGCCTCTTCTGTCTTCCGAGGGATTTAATTAAAGAATATATTTGAATAATCTTCTGCCCATATATATTATATTCAGTAACTTAGATGAAATAGACAGTTTCTGAAAACAGTGTATTTACCAAAACTAAAACATGATACAGAAATTTTTTATATATTTTGTATACTACATATTATATAGTATATGTTTATAATGTAATTATAAGCTTTATATATTAAAGAAATTGAACTTGCTATCAAGACCTTTACCAAAGACAAAATTCTATGCTTAGATGGATTTACCAAAGCATTCCTTCAAGCTTTTGATTTTTTTAACAAATTTTTAAAAATAAATTTATTTTTATTTTATGTGTATAAGTATTTTGCTTGCCTGTGTGTAATGCACCACATCCATGAAATGCCTGCAGAGGCCAGAAGAGGGGATCGGATCTCCTGTAACTGGAATCGCACTGGTTGTTAGCTGCCATTTGGGTGCTGGGAGTAGAACCTGGGTCATCTGCAAGAGCCACCAGTGCTGTTAAACCACTGAGCCAACTCTCTAGCCCTTCTTCAAGCTTTTAAAGAAGTAATTCCAACCTGAAAAAAATAAAGAAGAGGGAACACTTCTCAACCCATTTCATGAGGCCAGAATAAAAGATATTATAGACTAAGATGTTATAGAAAAAAATTACAGACAAATATCCCTCGTGAACCCAGATACAAATATTCTAACGTTATTTTAGCAGATTGAATTAAATGAGCTAAGCCTATCATATATCATAATCACAAACTTATCCAAGAAAGCAAGACTAAACATACTTTAAAAATCAACCAGGGGCCAGAGAGATTCTTAGCAGGTTAAGGCTCATGCTGCCAAGCCTGCTGACCTGAGTATGAGTCCCAGGCCCTCATGGTAGAAGGAAAGAACTGATTCCTGCAAGTTGTTCTCTGACTTCCACATGTGTGCCACTTACCATCCCCCACAACAAACAAATAAAATGTAAAAGAAAATTAAAAATCATCCAGTGTAACTCACCAAATTTTCAGAAGAAAAGTGGAAAAAATATTAGCAAATTCAGAAAAATTGCTTGGACTGGGGTTGTAGTTCAGTGGCAGACTTCCTGCCTAATGTGTTCACCTGTAGTTTCAAAGAGAGAGGGAGGTCGTATTAGTCCTGTTTTCGTTAAATAATCACTCCTAGTTATAATTAGGCAAGAAAAAGAAATAACTATACAAATTAGAAAGGAAGCAAAGCTCGTATTTGTAGATGGCATGACAGTGTATACTATCCTACAGCAATTAAAAACACGTTTGTCAGACCAATACTTGACACATACTGGTATCCACAGTGTGTAAAGAATTCCCAGTGCTCAATAGCAGTGTAAAAATTCCAATTAAATGTGGCAAGATATTTGAACAAGATACTTCACAAAGGAAGATATACAAATGCCTCTTCACAGAAAAAAAATGGTCAACATCATTAGTTTCAAGGGAAATATGCAAAGTTAAGCATAGAATGAGATACTGCCACATATTCTGCAGAAAGGGAAAAATTAAAACCAGCTATTAAATATGGTCAAAGATTTGAAACCAGAGGTATCATACACAATGGTGGAAGTATGAAATGATAAACTTTGGTAAAAGTTCTGTCAAATTTCATTAACTTAGGGAAGACCCTTTATTTCCATTCCTAGATAGTCAACCAAGATAAACTACATATTCACAGAATGTGTACAGAATTATCTAGAAGCTTTATTCATAATGAACCAAAGTTCAGAACAGCTCAAGTGTTTATCAATAAGGGAATAAGTTAATAAGTTGTTATATAGGTATACTATGGAATACTCTTGAACCCTAAAAAGGAACAAACTTCTGATATAGGATGTCACATAGGATAAATCTCAAAAACTTTGTGTTGTATGAAAGAACTCTTATTTAAAATCACGTGTTGCAAATTTTTTGTATGTGTTGTTTGAGGAGAGGCAAAAGTAATGTGGAATGGAAAACATCAGACATGTGGTTGCCTCTAATGGAGATCAGAGGTAGGAATGACTGTGAAGAAACACAGGGAACTTTCTGGGCTTCCAAATGTTAATCCAGATTCGTAGGATGGGCTCTTTCATATTTATACATTTTATCTTATGTAACTTCCACCTAAAGTAAAGTAATTTAAGCTTTAGCTAGTGATATATTCAGAAGTGTAATACACTGAAGTCTGCAACTTGATGGCTCAGTTAGTAAACCACTTGCTGTGCAAACATGAAGACCTGAGTTCCAACTCCCATATTCACTTAAAAAGCAAGACATGGTAGTGGTGCATGTTTGTAATCCCAGATCTAGAGAGGTGGAAACATCCTGGGACTTGCCGTCTAGCCAGCCCTGCTTAGTGAGTTCCAGACCAATGTGAGACTCTGCCTCAAAAAATAAGGTGGACAGATTCTGAGGAACAACGGCCAAAGTTCTTCTATGACTCCCTGTGCATGTACGTGCACACATGCACTCTGTGCACATTCACACACACAAACTGAGTAGATGTATGAATAGTGGTTGATACATAATGATAAATTAGATACAGTAAATAGTGATTATGAATTTGAAGTGGTAAGGAATGTAGGTGTTCACTGTGTAATTCTCTTTTCTGTAATCAGATATTTTCTTAATACATATTAGAAAAATGTTTAATAGTGTCTTTCATTATGAAAGTGACATATCTAGTAAAACTATCGAAAAGGGAGAAATGTTGACAGTTTAGTGTTCTATAAATAGCAACTTCTTAATGCTTTCAATCTTTTCTATTTTCCATTCTTGCTTTACTTAAAGACTAGGACTTTTTTTTTATACATCCTCTTATATACTACTTTTCTTCAGTAAGATTTATAACATTATTTCCACTGCCAGATGAAATTTTGTGGATCTTATATACCATAAATTGCTTAAGGTGTCCTCCTATTTTATATGTTTAGACTATTTTTCATATTTTCCTAATATACGGCAATAAATGCTTTTTACAAAAAAGATAATTTGTTCTGTGCTTTAGATTAGATTATCCCCCATAGAGTAGATCTTTGTAAGTTAAAGTACTATGTCAAAAAGTATAAAAATGTTCAAAGTCATCCATACAGTATACAGCTGTTGACTCTGCCATTCATTTTCCCCAGAATAGTTCCTGAGACACCCCTACAGAATCCCAGTGCTCCTAAAGTTTAATGAAACTACCACTCTCATCAGAATATTTTTCCAACCCTGACTATATCAAACTAGATTTTTAAAAATTTAATCTTTCTGCTATTCCGAGATTCACAGGCGTTTCACCACTTGCCTAAGGTTCTAGCTAGTAATTACAGTCATCCTGCATATGTCAAAGCTGTGTCCAGATAAAAACAAGCACTTAGGAATGACGATACCAAGGACTTTTAAATCAATTTTAAGCCAATTAGATCTACATTTCCCATGTATTTTTCTCCAGAACTACAAAAGACCTAGTGTCCTTTTGATAGTAGCCAGAACATTGTTCATTTTTGCATTTTAGTTTATTTTACGCCATGGAAAAGAGGCAGCCTTCTCATCTTCCTTTAGCTCCAGCCACACAACATGTTAAGCTCACGTTACAAGACATGATCTGTTGTTGGAAATGTAGTCCAAACCTAGATCCTGACCGTTCCTTGCCTGCTAGGCTGCTAGTGTGAATTGTAAAAGGATGTAGAAATAGCATGTGAATCTCTTCTGAGGGCAGAATGTCTGCAGGTCTCCGCTAGTGGGGAGGGGGTGTGCTCTGCAGTGTCTGGCATGCTGTGTATGGTGGTGGGGCTGCCGTGACACAGACACTGTGCTTCGGCAGCTGCTCCTTGTGCAGCATGTGAGTGGAGGCCCTAGAGGCTGTGCTTTCGGGAACTGTGAGGACCACTGGCTTGTGGAAACCTAGTCTTCCTCTGAACCAGAGACTAGATGGAGATGGGGATAGTTCCTTTTCAAACCCAGGAGGAAGGGTCATTTGTCCTTGTGAACAAAGAAGCAAATGAGAGTAACTCATCCTTGTTTGTTACAATTCTTTGATCAGAGAAAGAATCAAGTGTTGCTGTGAGCAGCTGCGTTCTCTCTTGCCATATACAAAGGGGAGGAAGAGTGATATGGCGTCAGTCCTCGAGGCAACAGTTGATTATGTGAAGTATGTCCGGGGGAAAATCACTCCAGCTGTTTTGGGCCAGGTATTCAGTTTCCAAAATCCTTATTAATAGTGTTTTCATGCTACAATTTTTATTTCCATAACTGGAAACGTATGTGTTTGCAAATCTGTTTTTATCTATCCAACTTTATGTATATATACTTGAGACCAATAAGAAGTTTTCTAAGAGACAAGTTTCCTTCGAGCTGTGCTTCCCAGGTACAGCTGTGGCACAAAGGTATGACCAGGGCTCTGTGAGTACTGAGTCTGCATGCTGTTTTCCCTCCCTGCTGATACCAGATGAGTAGACAGGAACCAAAAGCAAACAGAGTGAAAGCTCTGGTGATTTTAAGGATTGATGAGCTTTTCCCATCGCCCATGCATGTCATTGCATTACAGTGATAAACACATGTAATATTCTCAGACCTGTGGCCCTTTCATAATGTGACTCGCTCTGCAGTTACTCAGGAGAATCTTGAAATGGAGCTTTCAGGCTCCAGGTGTAGTGACCCTGGCAGTCTAGCAGGGGCATGGTGGGTTCTAGAGTTCCTCTGGCAGAGGTTGAGGACCCTGGAGCATCTAGGCCGATTTCAGTAAGCAGCTCTTAAATAAACTGGTACAAAATGGACATGTCAAATGATTCCTTCCTTATCCATGTTTCTTAGACCATGCAAACAAAGAGCAACTGTAGAAGAAAAGCCATCATTCCTGAAGACTCATCAAGTGTCCTATTCACTTTGTTCTACTTACCCATAGTTGAGGTTTTGTCAGGGTTTTTTTATATCTTGATTAATAGGATAGCATTTGGACTCAGCAACATTCACATTGTCTTCCTGGAGAAATATACTAAGTGGGTTTTTCTTGTTCTTTCAAGGGAAGATGGTGTGTTGACAGGTAATTACTCACCTGTGACAGGGATCCAGGTCTTGACTAATCAGTGCTTGAATGTGTATTCTGCGCCTGCTGCAGGAGGGACCTTGGAGGAAGCTGTAACAGGTAAGCTAAGCCAAACACCAACGCTTCTCACAGGCCCCTGCTCATTTGCTGCTGTAACCCTGGGGCAAGTGGAGCTGGACTATTCCACCATGAGCCCATCTGGTGTCGTGAGCTTGAAGTATACAAGATGTCTACAAGCATTTAAATAGAATTCTGTTCCTTTTGTGTCACTGTGTCAGAATACCTGACAGAACAGCTTAAGGGAGGAAATGTTTAACTCATGGTTCTTGAGGATTTAGTCCATCATACTAAAGGCAGGCTTGCCGGCTTCCATGCGGTAGGAATATGTGGTAACGACTTCTCACAAAGCAGTGAACCAGGAATCAGAGCAGGATGGATCCAGGCGTCCAAGGCCTGCCCCAGTGATTTGCTTCTGCTAGCTGTGTGCCAACTTCTGAAGATTCTATAGCATCCCAGAATCATGCCACTATCCAGAGAACAAGCATTCAAAATCAGACGAGGAGATTGTAGGGGGACATTTCAAATTCAGTCATAACAAAAATTAGCTTAGAAACCATCTCAAAATTGACCATAATTGCTAGAAAGTATATCTTGCTGACAGATGAGAAACCTATTGGTAAATTTATTTATTATTGCTCTAGTTAGCTCCCCTGTTGCTGAGATAAAGTACTGACCAAAAGCAACTTGGGGAGGAAAGGGTTTATTTGGCTGCAGCTCACAGTCTGTCATCAAGGGAAGCCAAGGCAGGACCCTGGAGGCAGGAGCTGAAGTAGAGACCACAGAGGAATGCTGCTTCCCAGCTTGCTCCTCTAGCTGATTATCAGCCTGCTTTCTTACACAACCTAAGAGCACCTGCACAGGGGTGGCACCACCTACATTGGGCTGGGCCCTTCCACATCACTCAACAATCAAGAAAATGCCACAGGCCAATCTAATAGAGGAATTCTCCAGTTGAAGATCCCTCTTCCCAGGTGTGTCAAATTGATGTGCAAAGCCATCCAACACAATTATATAAATGAAATCTAAAGGGAAAAGAAGTATAGTAACCCCCTCACTTTCCACGGAGGAAGGACTCCGGGCCACTCTGCAGACACTCGCTCTGCAGATTCACAAGTCCCCTCTGTAAAACTGCATATCTTTTGCTGGGCCACTCTGCAGACACTCACTCGCTCTGCAGATTCACAAGTCCCCTCTGTAAAACTGCATATCTTTTGCATATAGCCTTGGTACCTCCTGTGTACGTACTTTAAATCTTCTGTGGGTTGCTTATAAGAACTGATATAATGTAAATGAATACACATAGTTTTACATTACATTGTTTAAGGAACGATGGTGAGGAAAAAGAGTGTCCATATTTGCTACAGGCACAGTGTGGTTGTTTTTATTTTTAATATTTTAGGTTCTTGGTTGGTTGGATCTCCAGGTGAGAAGCAGATATAAAGAACTGACTGTGCTAATGTTAATTCGGTGCTGATGACTGCTGAACGTGCAGCGTATTAATTTATTTGCCACTTTCCTGTCTTTGCTTCTTTGTTCATAGTATTTACCTCTGGCTAATGTCTTTTGCTTGTATGGTCTGTTTATTGCCTCTTTCCCATTATAATGTCTACTCCAGGATGGCAGGGAGTTTTTGCTCCTGTTTATTCCTGGCTGTATTTCTAGTGCCTAGAGGAATGAGTGGCACACAGTAGGTGCTCATTTGAACCACATGCAATCCCTGCCAGAAGTATTTCTGTTACATTCTGTACAAATGTAGGCATTCTCACATACCTGTAAAAATATGAAGATGGGAAATAATAGAGCCAGAGGAAAAAGAACACAGGTCCAGTTTGACTCCTAAAGGTTACTCTCCACTGAGAAAACAATTAGATGTGGACCTTCTAGCCAGAGTGTCAAGTACTGTGTGGCAGGACTGACCCTCTTAGGTAACGCTTCTGCTATCTTCCGCCAAGGAACTGTGCTGTCGCTTAGCATCCCCCTGTTCCTGGAGTGGCTGTAACCTTCGCTTTACCCACTAATTCTAAGTCTGCCTCCTAGTTCTCAGCATGATATTCCTGTCTCAGAGATGGGGAAGTTTGGATGAATGAGATGAAGTTCTTGTTCATACAGATCTTGCAGCTCAGTGACAGAGAGGAGCACAAAAGCAAACTAGTCTACATAGTGTGTTAAGTGCAAAACAGAAGGACCATGTGAACTCATGGGGCTCTGGTGGGAGTCCCAGGGACAAACGAGGTTCCTAGGGTTGGTTTCTACAGTCAAAAGTGAAGGTGCCAAAAATACAACATAGCCCTTCATGGTTTTGCAATCAAGTAAACCTCTGGGTACTTCAGTAGTCTATTTAAACCTTTCTCCTGACCTAGAGGAGAAGGAGGATAGAAAAAAGAAGTTACGACAAGCCACAGTTAAACTACTCAAAGTGGCTATGGCTCATTGTGACATGGGATGATTAAAATGGTCCAGATTAAATCAGATAGAGCTTAGGACACAGAAGATGCCTGCTAATGGTATTTCTTTACATACAGTACTGTTTACATTCTGTAAAAACAGTGTTGATAGCAGTGAGTTCAGCTTTTCAGTGCCTCAGTGTCTTGGGGTATGACATCACCTAAAGAGACCACCCTGGGGAAGAAGATACCATTTTAGTAGGACCATGTTTGGACCCCAGGAGACCTGGAGGATCAGTGAGTCCATACTCCTAATCATTTCCTGTTTAAAAAGCAATGTGGATCCTTTGCTAACTGGCTAAGCTAATTAGTGTTTACTTTTTATATATGTATTTTATCAGGTATATCTTCTCTAGTGTTGGCCATCCCATTTTTGTCTCCTAAATTTTTTACTCTATGTCATGTATACTTTATTGTTATACAGTCTTCATCACCATTTTAATAATTTTAATTGTTTAATCAAACAATTTAGAGAGTAGTTTTCTCAGCATCTTCCAGTTGTTATGTTAGCATTTCCAGTTTTGAGACAGAAATATTTTTTAATTAAAAAAAATATTTTTAATTTTTTATTTTGTGCATATGTGTGTATTGTTTGTATGAAGGTAAGTGCACCCGTGTCGTGCAATGCCTGAGGAGGACAGAAGAGGCCATCGGATCCCCTGGAACTGGAGCTATGGACAGTTGTTAGCTGCCATGTGGGTGCTGGGATTTGAACCTGGGTCTTCTGCAAGAACAGCCAGTGTTCTTCACCACTGAGCCATCTCTCCAGCCCTGAGGCAGAAATATTTTTATGCATCATGTGATAAGAAATACTTCCCCACGTACTGGGTTTTCTGTTTTAACTCTCTCCTTCTACTATATCCCTGACAATAGGCAAGAGCTTTTGTATATATGGCTCTTAATGCGTGTTGCTAGGTTATTTTTGAGAGACAATCTGAAGAATTTCAGTCAAGCCTTTTGAATTTCACTTTCCCCACCCAGGTCAGGAAATTGAAGGCTAGAAAAGTTAGATGGCCATGATAGGCTCCAAGGTGGTGTTCTAAGCCTGATCTATGATACCAACATGTTTAGGCTTATCAGCCTGCTTTTCCTGTTCTTTCCCATAAATCTGTGCAAACATTTTCTTCAATTTGTTCATAAACATTCCATTTGTATTTAGTCGACATAAAATTGCTTTTACATTCATTATTATGTGTAATAATGTCCAAAAGTTACTTGACATTACATTTTTAACATATGGTTTTTAAAATCTATTTATTATTTTTATTTTATGTGTATGTGTGTATTGTCTGTATGTAGGTAGGTGCACCTGTGTCATGCAGTGCCCACAGAGGTCAGAAGAGGGCATAGGATCCCCTGGAACTGGAGTTATGGATGGTTGTTAGCCACCATGTGGGTGCTGGGAATTGAACCCGGGTCCTCTGCAAGAGCAGCCAGTGCACTTAACTGCTGAGCCATCTCTCTAGCCCCACATTATGTGCTTTTAGAAATCTTTGTCTTCTGGGCTGGAGAGATGGCTCAGCAGTTAAGAACACCCACATGGCAGCTAACAACTGTCCGTAATTCCAGTTCCAGGGGATCCTCTTCTGTCTTCCACAGGCATTGCATGATACAGGTACGTTTACCTACGTGCAGGTGATACACGCATACATATAAAATAATAAATATTTAAAACATTTTTTGTCTTCTAATAACTGTGTAGAGCTATAGTATAAATGTATAATGATATCACCCACTTCAGTGATAGAAAAATCAACCAAATTTTATTTATAGTTATTTTCTCTCACATTCTTGCTCTGTAGGAATGGTTAATTTGGTATGATGGTAGCCAAACATACACACACACACACACAGACACACACACACACACACACACACACACACACACACTCCACATACATACCCCAAAAAGCTCCTTCTCTGAAATATCTTTTCATAATACACAAATGCTAATGTGTCATGTGTGTATTGATGTGTGTCATTACAAAAATGATTCACTGTGTTTTTCTGTCAGTATTTAGCTATAGCAATGTACAAGTATGTAACACAAGGGAATGAAAGAGAAAACTTTTTTTTTTTCAAACACTGAGTTATATAACTACTTACTGTACTGATAGATACTTGTTTTCTTTCTTATTACAGGTCAGTCAAGCTCCATTTCAGAGAGTCCTAATGATGATCTTTATAAGACTCAAATTCCCAGCACAGCCCTCTCTCTTAATTCCTTCCATGCTGTCAGATACTGTTCTGGAGTTGTCCCTTCCTATGATGCAGCTTCCATAGAAAATCAAAACATTTCTTTTCATTTACCATCATCTGTGCCCAAAGTCTCACAGTTTCTTCCCCAGCACTTCAATTCCATGCTTTGCCAGACATGCACAACAAATCCCAACTGTCTGGTAAGTCTCCTGGGGTCCATGAGTGAGACTAGACTCTCCATCCAGCAGAGGCCCTGAATTGCACTTTGTTTTGTTCTGGTCTCAAAGCTCCTAGACTGGGCCCCAGGAGCTGTGCTGGTTTCTAAGTCACTCTGTCTGGTGGGATAGCTAGTGCAGTTCACCCAGGCCCTTGTTCTCCATGCTGCAGGGCTGGTGTCTACATTCCAGGCTCATGAATCTGGATTTGGCTCTGCTAGTCTAGCATTAGGTGACCTTGTGAAACCTGGTTTCTCTGGAGCTGATCACCTCTCTCTCTCTCTCTCTCTCTCTCTCTCTCTCTCTCTCTCTCCTGCAAGTCTGTGTGGTGAGTGCTCAGGTTTATATGGGGGTGCATGCACATACATGTATAGACTAGAAGTTAACTCTGTGCATTCCCTCAGGCATCTTTTCCCTCCCTCCTTCCCTCCCTCCCTCTCTCCTTCCCTCCCTCCCTCTCTCCCTCTCTCTTTCCACTCTGAGTTCTTAGGATGCCACAGCCCATTTCTACATCTTCACTACCAGCTGGCCCCCAAACTGCTGCTGCTTCTCTCTCAGGCTGCAGTGATCACTCTATGTGAAAACCTTTTCCTCCATTCACCATCAAGCTGAGTTCACATACAACAGAAAACTATTGAGTGCCTTTATGCATTGTGCTTACCTGTGGTGCTGCAATTGTAGTACATATAGACATGATCCTCACTCTCATGAAGTGTCGTCAAGATACAGCCAGAGAATAGGGCAGATGTGATATAGGTTGGAACATGTTGGAAGTGTACACATAATATAGATTTGGGAGAGACTAGTTACTGCTGACTTCTGGAGAAGCACTGTCTCAACCAAAAACTAAAGACAATTAAGTAGCCAAGTAGGGGGGCCCTGGCATCCGAGGTAAGGAAGAGTGTTCCAGGTGGATGGATCAACATAAGTAAACAGTGAAATGTTTGCCTTGTGGAAAAACTATCCAGTTTCAAGCAGCAATAATGAATGCCTTATATCATATATTTTCTTTACTTACTAGATGTGGTCTAATGATGCCTGAGTAGTACAGTCCTTGCAGAGTAGAAGCTGTTATCATGTCTATATGACGTCTACAAAATAGAAATAATAGTGACCTTCTGAGAAAGATATCCCAAAGGGAATTACAAAGAAACATTAGAGCATGAGGTTACTACAGATTTAACAGTACTGATGATCAGAAAGACCAGGACAAAGGAAAAGAGAATGCTCCATTGTTTGAGTGATTGATGACTGATGGCTGATTAACTGGCTTATGACTGAAATGGGGTCCTGCTTTGTTGACCACTTTGATCTTGAACTCTATGCTTGAATGATTCTCCTGCCTCGGCCTCCCAAATTTTGGGGACTGTGGGCTCATACCCCAAACCTAACACAGTATTTTTTTTAGTTGTTGACATGTACTTACTATATATGATTTTTGTTGTACAATTTTTACAAGAAAATAATTATTTTTTTTTATTTTGTTTTTTTAAAAATTGAATGTGTGTGTGTGTGTGTGTGTGTGTGTGTGTGTATATAAGTGTGCGTGCGCACCTGTGGAGATCAGTTTTCAGAAGTTGGTTCTCGCTTTCTTCCTTGTTGAGGCAGGATCTCTCTTGTTTCTGCCGCAGTATACTCCAGGCCAGCTGGCGCACAAGCATGCAGCCGATTCTCAGGCTTCCACTTCCAGCTTTTTACATGGGTTCCAGGAGTCGGACTCAGGCCATCAGGCAGCGAGGCAAGCACTTTTACCCGCTGAGCCATCTCCCCGGCCTCAAGAAAAAAATTACTTTTAAGAACAACAAATGTTTGAAAAAATGTAGGTTTAGTCACTTGAAGATTTCATATGGTTTTATAAACTATGTCATGATACAGAAAATACAGTTGTGACATTATGAATAAGAAAAAGTCAGCATTCAATTAGTGTGTATTTTTCCCTCCTTTGCAGCAACATTTGTGCATATTAACAGCACATGTTTGAAATTCATACTCTTGCCCACCTGCTGGGTGCAGTTGCACAATACAGGAAGAGTGGAACAAAGAAAGCTTGTGAAAGGCACAGCTCAAAAGAATCTGATGAATGCACTGAACCCTTGTGCAGATAGGTGGGAAAGACAGGCAGCAGCAATCTAACCCTGTGCTTCCAGTCTCTTCTACATGCCTAGAGATGCAAGCCAGAGCTCTACAAGCACCAGTGGCCTAGGCGACCCACACACACTTGTATTACACACACACACACACACACACACACGCACATCTTCCACTTTACGAAAAATTGAACTACAAAGAAGACCTAGGTGGGCTTAAACGGATAAGACCAGGAAGGTGCATCCATCTCCCATGCTGCTGAGCAAAGATTCTGTAGCCTGATTCATATTGTTTGTATCCCTGTACATTCCCATCACTTATTTCTGGGTGATATCCTTTCCAAATTTGACATTTTAAAGAGCTTCCTTCTTTATTTATCACCCAAACTAGAATGTCTAGAGAGGCCTAGAGGTGTTTGCATCTTCATGTGGTGCTTAGCGAATAAACTGATATGCTTGCTGTGCGTTCACCATCTTTTGAGTGAAATGGCAGCCAGCCATTGTCTTGCTGGGTCTTTAGTTCCAGACTAGCAGATCTTTGCTTTCTTTGTTTTCCATCTCTTCCTCGGGGGCTTTACAAAAAAACTGTTGGAAAGGAGAGAAAATGTTTGTTTTTATATTTCACTGAAATGTTCTTAGGCATAAGTTTTATTGTTAAAATACATAAGTTTACCCCGAAAATCCATTGTTTTGTTTAATAAATGTGTTTTCTCTTTTAGTAGTGGTATGAAGAGAAGCTTAATAATTGCTTTGGTGTATTTCTCATGTTCTGAGTTCTTTGGGGATGCCAAACTGATAGATTCTGTGGATGTTTGACACACTGTGTTGAGGAACTAGAAATTTCCAACTGTGGTTTTATGCATATCACACATGGGTGCTGATTCTTCATAAACTCAGTTGCAATTGCTGTGGCATTGGAAGAGAGCCTGCTGAGGTATCTCAAGCTCCAGCCTCTGTCCTCAGCTCAGCTGTCCTCCCTTGCTGCTGCTGGAACTGTTGCTTGATGAGGGTTTCTCCAGATCCACTCATGGCTCCTGACAGACATTGTACTCAAGGATTCCTAGACAAAAAGAACTAGAAAATGTGATCCCAAGAGCCATTTGTCCACTTGCTGGTCTCTCAGTCCCCGTTTTCCATTCAGTATGAACAGGATCCTGCCCCATCCATCATTAAAGTTTTGATTAAGGCCAATTCCATGGTCCTGAACTTCATGCCACTGTCTAAAATCCTCTTTGATGTAGAATTTCATTTTTAATGAATTATGCTTTTCCAAGTAAGCTCAGCTGTCAGCCAGAGGGTTAGCAGGCCTCAGCACACAGGAGGATTTTCTTTCTTTTTTTTTTTTGCCTATGTATGTGTTTTCATATGTGTGGTGTGTGTGTGTGTGGTACATGCATGTGAGTGTGCAGGTATGCATGCCTCTGTACACATGAAGAGACTAGGACATGTCTTCCTCTTTCATTCGCCTCCATCTTGCTCTGGGACAGTGTCTTTTATGGAACCCAGAGTTCCCCATTTCAGCTAGGCTGGTTGGTCAGGGATCTCTCAAGATCCACCTCAATGCTGGGGTTGTACACACAGCCATGCCCAGCTTTTAAATGTTGGTTCCAGGATTTGAATTCAGGTCCTCATACTTGCAGAACAAGCTGGCTAGCCATCTCTCTAGTCCCGGGATTTTCTTTCTACAATCAAGATGACAGGTCATGAGACAGTATAGTGCTATTTTCACAGTGAAAAAGCTGGAAGAACATTGCCTAGACTAAGTGATGTCTTTCAGGCTACAACGAATAGCAAGACTTGGCAGATATCCACTATAGATTGTGAGAACTGGCGAGGATGAAGGTAGACACCCCTCTTTCTGCTTTCAGTGGCTAGTATTGATATGTGCAATACAAGCAGGAGACCCAGATGGAAGATGATGTCAGCAGGAGAAGGGGGATCCTAACTTTAAATGGTAGCAGTGGCTCAGATGATCCAATTGGACCCTGTAACCCTGTGATTCTGTACTCTAGGTTTTTCTGTAGAGAATACTATATGATTGTCCTGAGAAGTCACTTGGTCAAGCTTCTCATGGCATCTAACACTAAGTTCCAGAGATTTGAAGTACATGGGTAAAACCCCCAAAGACAGAAGGCACAAGATGGTGGCTGCTGTTGTTTACTAGTTACTTGAATTGTGGGAAACCAAATTTCTCCTTTCTTTGTTTTTAATTTTTTATATTGATTTTCATTTTATGTGTATGAGTGTTATGCCTCCATGTGTGTAAGTGTACCTGTGTCATGCAGTGCCCATTGAGGTAGGAAGAAGGTGTCAGATCCCCTGGAAACTGGAGTTAAGGATGGTTATTAGCCACCATGTGGGTGCTGCAAGAGCAACCAGTGTTCCTAACCGCTGAGCCATCTCTTCAGGCCCATTTCTCCTTATTGTAGCTTCGGAAAAATTCAAAACTTTGACAACGCTGAATCTTCATCTATTATGTAAAATAGCAACACACTGCTCTGGTGAAGGAGTGGCTGCTTTTTTGTGTGGGACTTCACTTCCCTATGATCTCCTTCCCATCAGTCTGTTAGTTCCTCAGAGTGACTTGCCTGGTCCCTTAAGGATTCCAGTTTGACTCCTAAAAGAGCAGTGTTTTTCCTGTGTAGTGTAGTCACTTTTACAAGGATGGAAGGGAACTTGTTTATCTATTCTCAGGCCATACCCCACAGAATTAGATCTGGTAGACTTGGTTGGCCTAGTACCTGAAATTCCACACTTAAAGAAACATAGCCAGAGGTGTTTGCATATATCTGATTATCCTGCTGAAACATGCCCTGTGCACTTAAATGGATGTGGATACCCATAAGGGACACACATACATAGAGTTTACCATAAAGGATGGACAGAGGGAGGGAGGGAGGGAGGAAGAGAGAGAGAGAGAGAGAGAGAGGAGAGAGAGAGAGAGAAATAGACATAAAATCATGCTTCATTGACTCCCAAACCTGGCAGCACTTGTAAATTTATTAAAACCATTTCAGGTTCCTCCTGCAGATATTCTTACTCCAAATGTACAAAATGACGCTCAGCTCAGCACTCTGTGCTTGGGAACTACTGTTACATTTATAGCATAGCGTGCTCCTCAAGGACATGGGAAGGGCCGAAGTCAAGAGATGAAACACAGAGAACACAGGCCTATTCAGGCTGTGAGTTCAGAGTTACTTCCACCTTGGTGCGTGAAGGTTCAGGAGTTATATTGCTAAGCTAGACAATTGTTAGTACAGTTTTGGGGGAATTGCAAAAGTGGGACTAGACATGGAGTTTCTAGGAAGAGAAGAACTTTAAGAACATGATTTCGGGTTTCTCCACTTTAGCCAGATGGCAATGGAAACTGAGTGAAGGAAGGTGCTTTTAACTTTTTAATTAAATTATTCTAAATGTATTGTTCAAAGTAGAATACCACTTAGGCAAAATGATGAACACTGGGTAGCATTGGCAGACTTTCAAGACCAGTCCCCAAGCCTCTTGGCAGTTCTCTGTCCAGCTGTCAGAATACCACTGACCACTGGCTCTCCTTTTCCATTCTGTGTGGCTCCCTGGTACTGGGAATGAGGAAGCAGGAAGCCCAGGATCACCTTGGTTAATCCAGTATCAAGAGCTGGTTTCATCACCATGGAAACATGACACCCCTGTGGACCGCTGAGAAACCACTTATCTCTGTTTTTCAAGGTGGTTTTTACATTGCAGAATAATGGTCTCTCTGAAAACAGAAAAACAATGGGTAAACAAACCCAGATGTGATGGCATAGGACCTTGAAGCCAGCTGAGCTCTTCTCAGACTCCACTAAAGCTTTTTTAAAAAAACTCTTCTCAGCGCAAAGGTTACTAAGAAGTCTGACTGTAAAATGGATATATTTAAGTGCCACCGAGTAGAACCAGAGAAATAGGTTTCTAAAATGTACTGGTCAGCTTGTTTTGAAAAGTGGTCTGCTAAACTGTGTATCTCAGTTATCTGGGCAAACAAACATTCCTTTCAGCTTAATTTTTCTACAAAAAGCCAGGAGGCTACACAGTGGATTTGAGACTACTAGCAGTTGTAAAGCATTGAATTTTTATTCCTTTCAGCGTAACTTAGGCAGTTTCCTCTGTCCCTCAAAATAAGATCATTTTTTAAAAAACTTAGGCTTAGAACTTAGGTGAAAGTATGTCATTCATTTTAAAGCCCTCTACAACAGTTCTCAACATAGCAAGCACCTTGCAGATGTTTTCCCTCATAGACCCAAAACAGATAAACACTAGGAACTATGGAGAAATAGAAAATCTTTGCCCTAGAGCTGTGCATGTTAGGGTGGATTCACAGACCGAGAACAAACTTCCAGATCTCTCTCCCTCAGGCTTTAGGCTCATTCTAGGCCTCTCCTGTGACATTCTAATGGTTCTGTTGTTCAGTAAACAGTAAGGGGTAGAAACCTCACCAGATTCACAACTCTGGAGGGATTTTTATTTATTTTTATGTGTATGAGCATTTGCCTGTAGGTAGGTAAGTGCAGCCATGTTGTGCAATGCCCACAGAGACCAAAAGAGGGCATTGGGTCCCCTGAAACTGGAGTTAATAGGCAGTTGTTAGTGGCCATGTGGGTGCTGGGAATTGAACCCAGGTCTTCTTTATGAGCAGCAATGCTCTTAGCCACTGAGCCATCTCCCCAGCTCCTGGGGGAGGGGGGCAGAGTTTTAAAAAAATACTTTAGATTTTATTTACTATATTCACTAATGTGAAACATTGATTTTTATCTCCTAATGGAGCATTATACTTGAACTACCTTTTTATGATGGCTAAAATAACAATTTCAAATACCTTTCCAGAACTTATTCTGTAATATTCTTTTCCCAGTGCCTTAGGAAGTTCTGTTTCAAAGTGTGGGGCAAAAGTGCCCCTAAGCCTTTGACAAGGGGAGAAGCAAGATATTAGACAAGCTAAAAAATAGCGCTGTAAGAAAAATTGTACATGAACAGGTTGGATTGGCATGCAGGGGCATTTTAAAGAGTTAATCCTAATCTTGTGCCACTGAGAAACTTGCTGTGGGGTTTACTGAGCTCAAAATAGTCCTGGAGAATTCAGTATGGGGAGGGGAATTCCTTTCTTGACCACCATTGCCCTCATCCTGTGAAGGGAGAGTTCTGAGTTTCAATCTAAATATTATTGCTGGCCCCAAGATTTCCCAGCTCCTTAAAGAACCTACCATTGAATCTGACTGGCAGAGGATGTTTATACTTCGTATTGCTATCAATTCTGCCTAAAATGGAAAACCTACAACAAAGGATGCAGTTAAAATGCTGCTCTCCGGGGTGGGATTGTGTCAGCAAAGGGCAGTTACAGATGATCGTGTTAAGGGATTTGCACTTACAACCTTGGCCTGGGTCCAGCCATGGCTGGGAAAACACTCCCAGTTCTCTACCCCAGCAACAATGGTAGAGATTTACTCTTCAAGGGGGCACAGCTCTCCCCTGGCATGGTTTGACAGAGGTGAATTTGAAGGTGCTTGAATAAACAGTATGCTTGCTGAGGCCTCAATGGTTATTGAAAAGATACCTGGCCAGCATTTTATCAGGGTTTAACTGCCTCAGAGAAATTGGGATAAAATGTTAAATCCCTGCCACTAGAATTGGCTTTGTGTCTTTTGGGTATTTCCTGCAGATGCTAATGAAAGCGCAAGAATACTAATCAGATCCCATTGGCAAAGCCAAGCCAGTCATGGCAAGCTTCCAAACTGAAATTTATTTTTCACTGTCTGCATTTGGATGTTCTTCTCCCACTTAAACAAAAGCAAGGCAAACCCATTGGCAGTTGTTTCCCCAGAGCCAGACCCCACCTCCCCAAAGTCCCAAATACTGCTCTTTCCCACTTCTCAAGACCTTTGCTTGTCACAAATATAGCTTTGACTATATCATCCAGTAGCTACTGCTTATCCACTGTTGGGCTCTGGGCTTTGGGCCTTATCATGCAGTTATGCCTCCCATAGGCAGCTAGAGTCATGAGGAGAGCATGAGATTGGAAGTCACAGTAATGTCATTGCTTCCTTCCACCACTCATTGTGTAGAGTGGGTAACTTTTTTACCTCCTTTAATCTGTTTCTTCTACAAAATGGG